GCATATCGGGGTTTATAGCGCCGATTTCAGCACGAATGTATGCCTTGAGCTTATCAATAGCTTGAGGCTGGTTGGCGTAAACCTTGCTTTTCAAATAACCCCACAAAAAGAAGTCCGTGGGGATTAAATCAGGTGATCTATCAAATGGTGCCCTTTTCCGCGATATTTTTCCGGTATGCACGTTGAGTTAACACAATGAAACGACTGTTTTCGATGTAAAGTGTCACTATTTCAGCGCGTTGTTTCGGTGCGAAGCGATCCTTGGCAAAAATTGTACTGAATTGACGTTTCCGAAACATATCTGATGCAATCGCTCGATTGGTAAATATAATATGAAATTTTTTTATTATTCAGCCTTTATATACCGACATAAAAGGTGGAGCACCCTGTATAACAATGAAAAAATATGTACACAGCAGAGATCAAGAGCTGTTCGCACTGCTCGATACCCGGGTGTCTAAAGCTCTGGTCCACAGCAGGTTTTATTGTGTTATCAAAACATTTATTTTCGGAAGAAAACTACAAATAAAGAAATTATATTGCTTCATTTGCAAAAAAAAAAATATCTGATTTTCGTAAATAAATATTTGGCTAGCAATTATCTGCTAACATTCCTAGAGTCCATTTGCTTTGATGGAACTTCTAACCTTCTTCGTCACTCACAGCATATATATATGCATACTTTCTATGAAATATTACACCTCCAAGCTCCATTTGACATTATAAGTTCATTTAATAATTTTTTAGAAATTTCTTACGGTTTCCAAGAAAGTTCTAGAAAACTTTCAGAAAACATTGTCAAACAAGTTTTTCCGGGTCATGCAGTTTTCCTTCAAAAGTCTTAGAAGTGCTTAGATGAGTGTCGTGAATTTCTCTTTGAGTCTTATCGTGCAGTCGTAGGACAAATTCCTCACTAGAATCCGGCTATTTGATCGATTTAGAGATTTTGCCACCGTCGGCATTACGTAGATTGGATTCTTTGACCGAAGACAAGTTCGGATAGTGGATAGTGTATTCGGTTGGTTGCAATTAGTTTTCTTGGAATCAAACAAAAATAATAATCATTTATTGGGTGGCCCAAAAAGTAATTGCGGATTTTTCATATAGTCGGCGTTGACAAATTTTTTCAACGTCTTGTGAATCTGTAATTGCATTCTTTCTTCCGTCAGTTATCAGCTGTTACTTTTAGCTTGCTTTAGAAAAAAAGTGCGCGAAATTTTGTTTACATTTGTTTGTTTGGCGTCAATTTAAATATGGAGCCCACAAAGGAGCATTTTCGTCATATTTAACTTTATTATTTCCGTAAAGGAAAAAGCGCGAAGCAGGTTGCTAAAAAGTTACTAGATGTGTATGGTGATGAAGCCTTAAAAGGAAGACAGTGTCAAAATTGGTTTCGCAAATTCCGTTCTGGAGATTTTTCACTTAAAGATGAGCCACGTTCAGGTCGGCCAAATGAAGTTGATGATGACCAAATCAAAGCATTAATCGAATTGCATCGTCATGTAACTGAGCGTGATATAGGAGAGAAGTTAAATATACCAAAACCAACCGTTCATTATCACATAAAAAGTCTTGGACTGGTGAAAAAGCTTGATATTTGGGTACCACATGTATTGAAAGAAATTCATTTAACACACCGAATCAACGCTTGTCATATGCACCTTAAACGCAATGAATTCGATCCGTTTTTAAAACGAATCAGAACTTGAGATGAAAAATGGATTTTTTACAACAACGTTAGTCGAAAACGATCATGGTCCAAGCATGGTGAACCAGCTCAAACCACTTCAAAGGCTGATATCCACCAAAAGAATGCTGTCTGTTTGGTGGGATTGGAAGGGAGTCTTATATTTTGAGCTGCTTCCAAGGAACCAAACGATTAATTCGAATGTTTTCTGTCAACAATTGGACAATTTGAATACAGCCATCAAGGAGAAGCGACCAGAATTGGTCAATCGTAAAGGTGTCATATTCCACCAGGACAACGCTAGACCGCACACATCTTTGGTCACTCGCCAAAAACTGGGAGCTGAGCTTGGCTGGGAACTTTTGATGCATCCACCATATAGCCCTGACCTTGCACCATCAGACTACCATTTATTTCGATCTTTGCAAAACTCCTTAAATGGTAAAACTTTCGGCAATGATGAGGCTATAAAATCGCACTTGGTTCAGTTTTTTACAGATAAAGGCCAGAAGTTCTATGAGCGTGGAATACTAAATTTGCCAGGAAGATGGCAAAAGGTTATCGAACAAAATGGCAATTATATATTTGATTAAAGTTCATTCTAAGTTTTATTAAAAATGCATTTACTTTCTTTTAAAAAATCCGCAATTACTTTTTGGGCAACCCAATACATTATAATAATTTGGCACCGTCCAAATCATTGTTATCGCAAGCAAATGGCAAATGTCTAAGTTGTTGTTCAGCCCAAACCTAATAGAAGAAGTCTTACGTACAGTACACAGCATTTATGTGGAACCAGAGAATTATAAGGAAAAAGCTTGCCGTTATCTTTTAAAAATGATTTCGATCAAGTGACCGCCGAGAGGTCAAATTTTCAACCACTTTTTGCAGCACTTGAAGCCGTATGCTAGCAATATCGCACCAAATATTCTCTTCCAAGGCGTCAATCGTCTCAGGTTTATCTGCGTAGACGAGCGACTTAAGAGAAAATTAGTGAAGTGGCGTTAAATCGCACGTTCCTAAACCAAAAGTTTCCATCAAACAACTAATTGTTGGGATCAAAGATGATCCACATCAACATCCCCCAATTTAGGCATGAAAAAGTCATTAATTATGGCTCTGTAGCGTTCTTCATTCATTGTGACTTTATGATTCGCTCATGAAGCACATCAAACAGTGATTTTGGAAAATATTACGGTGTTTCGGCAATGGCTTGTGATCGAGATTGGTGGTCATCGTGTTTTGAGCGCATTCACCGAACGTACAGTCGTTCGGTCTCAATTCTTGTACGAGTTGGATTTTAAAGAACCGCAAAATAAATTATTTTCTCAAAACACTTACATAAAGGACACAACTCCAATTGTAGTGCGCTATGGTGGATAGACTCATTCGCGTCTGCTTTGATAGCGTCTTCGGTGCGCACTGTACGTCGTCTCTGAAGATGCGCTTATTCACTAGAGTAAACGTAGTACGAAAGCCATCCGTGGGTGTTCGAATTAGCTGATTTGCTGGGCGATTATGTCGACTATTATTTTAGTAATAAATTTGCACTTTGAATAAATCAAGGTGTCTTAAAGACCAACTTCTAAAAAAGTATTCATTCATGTCTAAAAAAAAATACCCTTCATTTGTGTAAAAAAAATTAGTAAAAACATTGTTAATTTCTGTTGAAAAAAATTAATTTTATTATTATCTGTTTATATATTTATCAGTAACAGCAAAAATCACACTCAGACATTTAAGTAAACTTTAAGAAACAATTTAAAAATATTTTCCTTTACATTGAAAAATAATAATGTGCTTATTTTCCACTAAATAGTAGTCAAATATATTAAAACCGATTTAATATCGGAAAATGTCGAAAAGTTCACACAAAAAGATACGTAATTTCGATTAGTGAAAATATTGAAAATATCCCTTGCATATTTCGATATTTTCAATATTATATTATTATTAATATTGTTTTAAAATTAAACAAAAATATTCATATTTTAAACTAAAGACTCCTTCTAAATAGACCCATTGGAGTTTATGCATCTCTCCAATTTTCAAAAAACTTTTCAAACTTGATCATTAAGATAGACTTTAGTGCTACCAGCGATGCGCTTTTATCATCAGCTATGACTGTAAAACGATGGACCATTAAGTTTCACTTTATTTTTGGAAACAGGAAAAATTCTTTGTTGTTTTTGACCAAAAATAATTCGTGTGAGCAGGTTCATTACGGTATATAAAAGCCATAAACTGTTTCTCCAAAAATTGGGAAGATTTTTCGGATTACTTCTCGCAAATGGCGGTGAACTTGTAGGACCGCTAACCGCTTGACCTGGTGGTGAGAATTCTCGATACACTATGCTAATAAAATCGAAGAACACTTGCGACTAAACTTGTCTAGCAATTTTCGGTCTTGGCTCCACTGATGGTGATCGAGCTTTAGTTTTGACCTCATATCCTTGATCCCTGTTATCCTACGCCAATCATATGTAATTCTGCATCATTTAGTGCCTCCTGAGTAACCGCTGTTGTGGTTTATAATTCAAAACTTTTCATACTCAAAACAATGGACATCACTTGATTTGATCTAATCGGTATGAAAAGATCATCAGCGACTTCTCTACATACTCGTAATTGTGTTTCGGCAATTGTTCATAACCACTCCTTTCACTTTCTTTTACATTTTCAGCGTTTGTTAAAGTGATGGAACGTCCAGGGCATTCTTCATTTTAAGCGTTTTTCAGGGACTTATTGAAAACGAAAGGCCTATAGACCCATTGTGATACCGCTGTGAAGCTCCTGTCTTCATCTGCTCAAATGAAACGAGATTGCCAATTTTCTTTGAAGCTATTGTAGGTCAGCGAGACAGTCGAATAAGTGTTTCCCGAAGAAACTGTGTCGCGCAGTTGTCAAGGCTGGACAGTGATGGAAGTAATGTTCAATACATTCTTCCCCTTCTGCGTCCCTACAGCTGCGACAAAAGTCAGTAGAGTGGTAGGTCATACTTATTCCGTGAAGGCCTATTAAACTGTGACCTGAGGAAATGTGTTTACTATAATTTTGTGATTTTAATCATTTAAATTACATTTAAATAAAAAAAAAAATAATATCGATAATTTTAAATATACAAATTTTGTATTTGTATTTATTTATGCACTAGCGAAAGCTTATGCTTATGAATTAAATTGAAAACCTCGCCATAAATTTAAATCTTCAATCTACAAATCCCTGAAATGAAAAAAAAACTATTCAATAATTTTATATATACATTTTTGAAAACTTTCAACTAACCTCTACTCTTTTTCCCCATTTATTTCAGATTTTCCATTTACGTGATATCCGTTGGGAGAAGCCACAATTCCTATCGAAGAGTTTCCTCGGCTTTGTTGCATTTAATTTATTTCTCTACAGTTTATTCTTCGTCGAGGTATTCTCTTCCTTAATTACCGCCGATCGTCAAAATTATGCACACATCTTCAACGGTTGCTATGCCGTACTAATGCTCATCGTTGTGGTTTTCTTTTTGATCTATGGCGTCGAAGTCTACTTTAAGCTACGCGGTGGCTTTGTTTACGATCAAACTGGTAAAATACTTGGACCCAGCGAAGCGATAGTGAATGCCTCGCAACTGCATCAATCGCGGCTTGGCCTACTCTCGCAGGCGATTATGTTAATTATTATTGTGGGTTTCCTTACATCGGAAACTTTGGGTGATTTCTGGAAAGCAAAGTAAGTTTTTTGCATAAATTCTAACAATTTATGCATTTTTCTAATACTAACTTTTCTTCTCCTTGTTTTTTTTAGAGTACCAGTTTATTCACGCAATTGGCACGATATAGTCTTCCGTATTGTAGAAATGGGTGTTGCTGTTTGGTTTCCCTGTTGCTTGTGGAATTCAATGGCACCCGAACAGCTTTGGATTTTGAATCCACGTAAATTGCTCTCTCGTCAAATCGACCCATCGATACCGACCACGTCGGCTGATAGTAAAAGTCTCTCGCCCGAGGAGGGTCAATCGTTTTTGATGAAAAAAGACTGTTGGATTTGTTATGATAGTGACAAACCCGAACCGCTAATACAGCCATGCCGTTGCACAGGCGATGTGAGCTCTGTACACCATGAGTGTTTGAAACGTTGGTTGGTAGAGAGTTGTAGCTCTTCGGATGCGCAGCTGTCGTGCAAAGTTTGTGGCTTCCCGTATGAAATTGAGAAGAGTAAAAAGTGAGTAAATAATTTTAAAAGCCATAGTGAAGGGTGTAGCGTTTTTATTCATTTACATATTTACACTAAATTGCTTTAAAGTTAATATTCAGTAAATTTTTTTTGTTTTTCTTTAAAAATAAAGTCGAAATAGCAACAGCACTTTTATTTTGTTTTATATTATATATTTTTTATTTTTGGTAATTAATTTACTTTATTCTGATAAATTATTATTATTTTTGTTTGTTATTTAAACAGTTTTTAATATGTGGCTGTACGCCACACTGCCTTCAAATTTTTTATACCATATAAAAATATATAAAATTAATAATATGAAATTTATATTGCTTTAAAATATCTACTCAGTAAATTAATTTTTAGTTTTTCAAAAATAATGTCGTAATAGCAACAGTAGTTTGAGGTTTTTTTTTTATAATTTTTATTGAAAATGGGCTTATATTTTGGTTTTCGTTTTTAATTTGCTTTTTCGTCACTAATTTTTTATTTTTGTTAATTAAAAATATTTTTATATGTGGCTGTGCTCGAGACGCTGCCTTTCAAATTTTGTATACCAGTTTTATCATTCCAAAAATATCTGATTGATTGTAAATATTTTAAATTCCGTTTTTTTCTGAGAAATGTGAGGGCGGTCATATAGCTTCTATTAAATATGGCATTAATTTTTAGACCAATTTTTATTTTATCAAATTTCATTTAATTACTCGTTTCTTGTTTTCTGTAATAAAAAATAGACTAAAATTATTAAGTTATTCCCTTGTATATTTTAACAACGTTTGCATTTTATTAATTCTAATATTGATTTTATTGAAAAACTTTTTTAGATCAGTTTCTTTTACTGAATTATTTGACTAAGTCGTGCAGTTCTTTATATTTTTTAAGCAAAATTATTTTTATTAAATTATATATGAAATACTTTTAAATTTGCTCCCGAATAATTTTTATACCAGTTCGAATATTCCAGAAGTGCCTTCTTGATTGTATTTTAAACTCCATTTTTTTGTGAGAAATGATATGGCTGTTATAGAGCTTCTACAAAATGTAGCATTAATTTTTAGACCAGTTTTAATTTTATCAATTTTTAATTAAAAACTAATTTTTTGTTTTCTGTTACTAAAAACATCCCTAAAATGTTAAAGCATAGTTTAAGAACATTTAAATTATTCTACTGTCAATTTTTTTTAAATATTTTTTAGACCAGTTTATATAACTGAATTATTCAGCTCTGCACGGTCTTTCTTTCTTTTTAAATAAACATATTTTTATTAAATTATGTTTGATGTTTTTTTAAAATTTGCTTCCCAATAATTTTTATACCAGTTCTATTATTCCGAAAATTCCCGATTGATTATATTTTAAACTCCATTTTTACTGAGGAATCATATGGCGGTCACATAGCTTCCACAAAATATGGTATGCATTTTTAGACCAGTTTTGATTTTATAAATTTTCCTTCAAAACCCCATTTTTCGTTTTCTGTAACTAAAAATATCCCGAAACTATTAAATCATGCGCTGTATCTTTGAATTCTAATAATTCTGCTGTCAATATCTTGAAAATATTTTTTAGACCAAATTTTAAATTATCCGTCTGAACTCTGCGTCGCCAATAATTTTAGTAAAGCCATTTTTATTAAAATATTTAATATTATTTAACTTGCTCTCTAATCACTTTTTAGACCAGTTAATACATTTTTGGTCTAATCTTCTTCACATTAAGCTAATATAATTATCAAATTTATATCCTCAGACTCGAATGGGAGAAGGGTTTCAACATGCAGCACTGGTCGAAAACAATCATACTGATCACATTGATGTGCGTTGCCGGCGCCAGCGCTTGGGTGGTCATCCAACTGTATGTCGATCCACTGATACGTGTACTCACCGTCGGCATCGCCGTACTCGTTGGCTATGTGTGTATCAAATGTTTGGGTGAAAACACGGTTGTGGCATACCAACGCGCCAAAGTAAGCTCAATTAATATTGTAACAAAGTCGGAAATGGAAAAACTGCACACCATATGTCAAGATGTCGGTGAACGGCCCACCACCACAGCTGCAGCAGCAGCCGCCGCAGCGGCGTCGGCAGCAGTCACCGCTTCGTCGCCATCAACATCGACATTGATTACAACAACAGTGCAATGATTATGACCGTTGAGAGAGGGAAGTGTTATTGAGTCGGAGCATGTTTGTTTGTTGGAAGACGATGATGAAGAGCAGCAACTGCAATTGCAACAACAACAACAACAACAACAACAACAAGAACCACAGCTGCAACTAAATGAGCAGTTGTTGGAAATTGAACAGGTGTCAGCGGTAGGAGTTACGAGAATCACACCACCGAATACAGTTATAAATATAACTAATATAACGGAAAAGTGACGAGCTACACAATTAAATTGAAGAGCCGCATAGAAAAAGGGATATAATTTTTTTTTTTTTTTTAATAAAACACTGTAATTGTAAATAACAACTACAATAACAATGACGATCACGATAACGATCGACGATAATGACTGTAAGTGCGCCTGCGTTTGTTTGTAGGCAAATATTAATTGAAAGGGGGAACGGGGTGAGGGATTGGAGCTGAGAAAATAATAACATAAACAGCTATGACTTTACACAACAACAGCAAATTACTGCTATATTAAGTAATTATAAATTGATTTATGTATGTACATCCAGTAAGTAATATTACATTAACTAATAACATAAAAAAAAAATACAACAAAAACAAAATTACTAAACGTTTGCTTAAGTTTCAAGCTTTCACATATATACATCTAAATATATACACATGCATACACATCTGCATAATATTGTAGCATGAGGAAACATGCAAAAACAACATTTTTTGAAATGCACTTTGTGATGTGTACACATACTTACATACCCAATTTATTTTACTTGCATTTATAATATAAAATTCTGAAAAATTGTGAAAATTTAAATTTTTAAAATTCAATTTCAACTCAAACTTACAAAAATTCAGCAAAAAACTTACGTACATATATTTTGATTTTTATTACCAATTTATTTTTGTTTAGAAATGTGTACCGAAAATTCTTTAACAAAATTATTAATTGTGCAAGCATACAAAGAAAGCAAAAAGCGAAAGAAGAAAGCATACAAATATCGCAAATCAAAAGATGTTCAAAGCAAAAAAGCGTACACAAGCAAAATTAATATAAATACAAAAAATTAAAATTAATTTGTAAATTATGCCAAATCTACAAAGTACATGCAACAAATAAATAAATATGTACACAGTTTTTGTAAAAAAAAAAATGTGTTTATATATAGTTATAAAAGCAGAATTTATAAAAAAAAAGAAAATAGCAAACAACCGTCAGTATCATTGTAATTGAGATTAATTAAAAACGTTTAAGAGAAACAATATATGTAACATTAAAAGGCTATTCACAAAGTATACACATAGAGATACATAAATCGTATAAACAACTAACAACTGCAGCAACTAACACGTACGGTTAAGTGATAATTCAATGCGTTAAATACAAGCAAACACCGCTATAAAGTTGGAATGCTTCGCATATTCAAAACTTTTTCAAATGTGCATACAAATTCTTGATAAAATACATATTTAAATGTATTTTGCGTGAAATTAAAAAAAAAAATTAAATATTTTGTAGCTCAGCGTTATGTAATGTAATGGAAAATGTAAACTCTTCTTTATGAAAAACTATACACAACATTTGAAAAATTACAAATCATCAATTGAAAATTTGCCACCAAATCGAAATTTAATTGAATTAAATTTTTTCAAAGTGCTTCTGATAAATTACGTATTTTCATTTAAATTAGTATATTTTGCATAAAAACAGTTTTGTAAATTTAAAAAAAAAAATTAAATATATATTATATATATATAGAATTGGCTTAATTAAATTTAATTTTTTCCATATATATGTATATGTATATGTATAATTTTTCTAGGTGTTTATACATTTTGTGTTTTCCTTTAAATTAGTATATTTCACTTGAAATTAGTTTTATTAAATTGAAAAAAAAAAAAATTTAATAAACTAGAAAAAATTAAATTTATAAATAAAAATTAAATTTATAAATAAATAATATATAGAAAATATATATATATATATATATATATATATATTTATATAATTCTAACGCTTATATTCGTAAATTCTCTGAGTTCCACCCAAAACATATTTTTTTTTTTATTAAGCACAATTTAAATATTAAATTTCTTAAAAGCAGAGTAAAAAACAATTCAGGCGATATCAAAATTTTGACATTTTTTCGTAATTTTGTTTTTTTTAAATGTTTTTCGTAAAAAGTTTTTAATATTAATTTTTACTAATTTTGTTTTTTTTTTAAATTTATACTAAAATCCTTTTTTTTTTTGCTTTAATTGTACCTATGTATCATTTGAAAATTTTGAAGCAATAATATTTGTTTTTGATTTATTGTAATTTTGTGATTTAAAAAATTTCTTGATTTCGTAATTGTAAATTTCATGAAAAAATTATCGTTTGAAAAAAAAAATAGATTGCCGTCTTTTCTCTATTAATATTATCATGCGAATTATTCATTAAAATACCAGATGATTTGAAAGAAAACATTGATAAAATTAAATGAAAATGTCTGTGGGATAGAAAAAAAAAATATAACAATCTTCAAATGTTTTCGGCAATAATAAAATGTTTTGAAAACTGGGCTACCTTTGCTCTTTTCACTACCGTTTCCATATTTTCATATATGCTTTCAAGCGATATTTATTTACTCAGCCTCCGCTACTCGTCATAGAAGCGTAGAAAATCTATTTTTAAAGAACACTAAATGCTTTCGAGCCTATGAACTGCATGTGCATTGAATTTAATGGAATTTAAAAATATTACAAACATATGTACACAATACATATTTGCGCTCAAATAAGAGACTTATAAAATCATATAAGAGTGTATAATACAACAAATAAAAATACAAAACCAATTACTAATAGTATTCAGTTTCATTAATAATATACATTTTTCATTAAAAAATAATAATTTATCAAGAAGTTTACATTTATTGTATGTATTCAGAATCATCATCATACATCATTGTACGAATATTATTTATAATAGCGCCTAAAATAAATATATTATTGAAACATGTATGATTATAGTACATGTATGTATGTATAAATGCTTAAAACCAATGCACATACATACATACATACATATAATGTATAATTTTTAATACGAATTAAATTTAAGTATTAGTTAAGTTAATAATAATACATGCTACACACACACACACACACACACACATTATTGAAATTAATATTAAAAAAAACTATTAAAACTAAATGTTTGTACGTGTAAGTGTTACAACAACACGTGTATGAAAATTAACATTAAAAAATTATAATTATAATGATAAAATCTAATTGTAATAAAATTATTGTGATAGCTGCATAAAAATTCATTATCAAACTACACACATACATATATGCGTGTAAAAAATTTTACAACAAACAAAAATACATTTAAAAAAAAACGTAAGCAAACACAGTCGCATTCATTTAATTTTATTTAGATTTTTAGTTTAAAGAAAAAGCCAAGGCAAATTTACATACGGTAGTAGCAGGAATACAATAACAAAAAGTTTATGTATTTTGTTTGTGTAAACGAACGTTCGAAATGACAAAACCTATTTATCATGTATTTTGTTTGTGTAAATTTTTAAAATTGAAGGAAGAATAAGCAATCATTTGATGTGACAACTTCACTTTATATAACTTCGCCTTGGAAAAACGGAAATTAAATATTTACTTTCGAAATAAATACATTTCTGTTTATTATTTTCGAAAATCCAAAAATGTTTTGCTTTTGTTGCATATTCTTTTCGCCAAATTTTAAAAAATAAAATTGTGGTATACAAATGTAACTGCTCGTTGCTTCACGTCTTCCAATTTTTTTTTTTTTTTCCCACAATTGAATGTGGGCACTCATAGTATTGGAGGACAGTTTAAAAATGTCAACCGATTCGATATTGTGACAACACATCCATTGTAAAGATATGCCACTTGTGGGTCAATAAAAAAAACTCCTTAAGCAACCGTCGCCCACTTGGCACCGCTTTGGCTTTTCTTCAGGTCGGTGTAATACCGGGTTTTCCTATAAAAGGTTTGTTATTCAAAGAAATATGGCATTTTTAGAGATAAATTATGGAATGTTTATTTTAATGTAAAGATTAATAATGGAAAACAATATCAGCCGAACTGCCGTCAGGGCTATGCTTACAGGTCCATATCGGTTTTATGAAATTTCCCATCAGCAAATCACAAATTGGCTACTGAAGGCCTTCAATACCTTCACGAATTCTATCTTTGAGGTTTTGAATCATCGTTGGCCTGTTTGCGTAGACCTTATCTTTCACATGGCGCAAATTAAGAAGTCGCAAGGTATTAAATCACAAGATCTCGGTGGCCAATTCTGATCAGCTCTTCAGGAGATAACACGGTTCCGAAACCTTTCCCTTGAAAGATCGATGGTTTCGTTACTTGTGCGGCACGTAGCACCGTCTTGTTGGGAGTAAACGTTGTCCCGATCAATATCATCTAATTTGGCCATAAAGAATTATTCATCATCTTTCGGTAGTAAATTCCAATGACCCCGTCGGACCATAAAGCACCCCAAATATTTGCACGTTGGGGATGGAGAGGCTTTTCAACATTAAATATTAGGTTATCCGAACCCAAGATGCGAAAGTTTTGCTTGTTGACGTAGCCATCGTGGTGGAAATGGGCTTAATTTCTGTCTTGTGATCCGACAAAGTTCTTCACGACGACGAAAAAAAGTTTAAGTTGCACGAAGCCTCTCTGCCAGGTTTTCAACATTAAGAAAAATGGCGAATTTTAATAATTTCAATGCATTTTTGAAGCGTGTATCGTTCGTTCTTTATTGCTGGCGTAGTTTTTATTTGTCAAATTTCAAAATAATTACGGATTCAAAGGCGACCTCCACCAGAAAGCAGGCTATTTAAAATAACACCTCTTTTTCATAGTGAGATTTACATCTCGCCACCTGCGTCCCGGTCCCGCATTTTCGCCCCTGGCATCATCTTTACATTTTTCCAGCTTTTCACTCAGGCGCATAGCTGAAATGGTGATGACTGATTTTGATTGTCCGGCTGTACTTTCGTGCCTATTATGCTCAGCTTGCCAGCGCGAGTATTTAAAATAAGTGTGAGCCGGCTTCATCTTCATTGAAGTCGTTGTAAACACAGCTCAGTCTTCCCTAAAGTAGTCGCGCCTGGACCGATTCCGTGTGATCTTATAATCCACCTCTGCGAATTTCTTGTTAGGCCATACTTTGGCATCTGTTATTTGCCTGGCAGTTCATCGGCCACAATTTCCTAATTTCCATCGGCTTTGCCACTAACTCAGCATTTCCTTTCTTATGCCTTCTCTTTCGGTGTTAAGGACGCTCTCTTAGTCCCTCATTTTCTTGACTGGCCAGTTTTAATTTCCCCTCGTATGCCAAGAGGTCGATAGAAATATATGCGCTTATTATTCCTATAGCTTCGCCTGATAT